TTTTTATTTAAAATGCCTGGTATATATATTTTAGGTTGCATGACCGACTGCCATTTGAACGGCGTGCAAAAATATTGTAATAACGGATGTGGTTTTGTATGCATGATCCCGATTGGCAGACAGTTGTATAAATGTTAAGCCATAGTATGTAATGAACACGTGAAGTAAATAACACGAGTAATTGTGCTCTGTGTTAACCACAACACCAAAACAATATTTTTAGCTTTAAAGAATTAATTATTTTTAATTTTAATGACGAATATGAATTGTGGGACATACCTTACCGTTTCTCATTTTATCATAGTCTCAATTTTATATGACATCAAAGTTTTGATTTGTTTAACTTTTAAGCCACGTGTCTACTTAGTCTTTTTGATTGATATATTTGGATCAAGTGTACTGATTAAAAGATACTATAGGGTTCAAAAATTAAAAAGAGGAATAACAATTGAATCTGAAACCAAAGTCAAGATTTTTTTTTTCTTTTTAAGTGAAAACCGAAGTTGCATCAAGATCATATGAATCCAAATTCAGTTCTATTTTTTTATATAATAGTTTGACATAAGTATTAAATGCTTAGATAATGCAGGGTCTTTTAATAATCTATATTCCGTATAACTCATTTTATAATTTTTTTCTTACAGCACAATAATGAATAAATTTTAATTACCAAATTTGCATATCTCAATGTCTTTACAACAAACATTTAATTCGTATCGTCTTTCATGCAAATGAAATCGGAATGCTCGTTTGAAAAAGCCCTTAAGAACTGATTACATCTAAATTCATTACTTCAGCAATGTGTCAAATCAAGCTGCGGGTATTTCTGGAGGGAACAACAAATAAATCATTGTGTGTTATCAGAATCAATATTAAATTAAATTTGGACGCGTTAGTTTTGTGAGGTATAATTATTGTGTGTTAAAAGTAAATTATTTCAAGCATGAAATGCTTGTCTTATTGTCCCTGCTTCTTGCCTTGCCTCCGATTCTTTCTGTCGCATGTCATGTCAATAGTTAAAGGCAGTCATATTAGCACTGTTTCGAATGTTTATACATACATTAATCGATCACATGGAAATTTTAGAACAAAAATTTCATTTTTCCGAAGTACAGACTAGATATACAAACAAGCAGTTGCGTGCAAATACATTAAACTAACGACGAAAATTCTCTCTCTCTCTCTCTCCCTCTCTCTCTCTCTCTCTCTCTCCCTCTCTCTCTCTTCAAAAACAAAGAAACTTCAATTGTATGACACACAAAGAATGATATATAATAAATAAGTTTTTTAAACAAATTATAACCATATATGCTTAACATATTAAGGGAGATCATACTGTTTGGTAAACTTCAGTACTGTATTAATAGCTCGAATCATCTTTCAACCAAATCATGGAATTAAATTTATGCAGGTATACTTAGCTTTCGAAAATAATTTTTTTAAAAATCAAGTTTTACGATAGCACATTTATCTTTCATCAAGCAGGAAGTAATCAGTAATTTCAAGCGCACTTATCTAGCTCCGTTTTTCAGTCATATATGAACAAAAGTTTCATGATAAAAAAGTTGTTAGGTCTGTGAATTTACATGAAGTAAATAGATGATAAAATGCTGCTGTCCCATTTCCTTGTTTACTTCAATTGTATAAATATCAAACAAAATAGCTTCTTCCTTCCTTTATGAAATTCTAGATTAGAGTATTGTAATTTGTTTCGATAATTAAAACCTTAGAAATGGATCATACATTTATAACTATATTAACTTCCTCTCTGGATGGAAGCATTGCAACAATTATAAACGGAAATTTTGAGGCTTTGTTGATATGTGCAAGAAATTATAACAACATTTAGTAATATTCCACTAACGCGGAAATGTTAAATTAATTTCAATTTAGAAGCAGAATGTAAAATATAGACCGACTTTGAGTATGTTACCAAAGTAGTACATCATTCCCAAAATGAAGCAATTTCAATAGTATGCATAATAATAAACAATAATGGAGTAACAATGAATTATAATCATAGAGGCAGATTTGTTAATGTTGTTGAATCACTTGTCCCTCCCTTCTGTGATTTTGAATCCCTGATGACAATCTAGGATTCTTTCATAATCACAGGGTATCCAGCTAGCTTATTGAAGGTCGGTGGTTCTACACAAGTGCCTTCGCAAGTTTGAAATAGTATAAATTAATACTCCTTCACTAATCCGGCTGTTTAGATAGAGAGCATCAGATTACAAATTCAGGGGTCGCTGTTTTAATCCTCGAGTGAGGCGTAATTGCTCCGTGACAGTTGATCTCGGACGTTGAGTCTAATGGTCATCGCTGATTCAAAAGTTAATGTCGGATTAGTAGTCGGTCACTTGCGGATAAGTTGGTTATTACTGGTTAATTAACCAGGAACTCCGGTTAAGGGAACCGATCGACGAGGTAACAGCAAAAACCATGTTAAAATCGGCATAAAATATCGGGTTGAAATGAGCAAACCTCTACACTGTAAAGTGGTTTGTTAAGCTTTATGGTGTATGTGTGTGCAAATTGAAATTTAAGTATTCCTCAAAAGTTCAGTGAATTATTTGATGTGGATGAAGATTGATCTATCGAGCACTGATGTAAACACAAAACAACCAAATTTGACTCGAAAGTTAAAATTGATGAACTATTGATGGAAATAAGGTGAAATATTTCATAGTGTTAGTGGGCCATGTCACAATCAAAATAATAATTGCCTCCGTGGTAAATTCCTACACATCAAAACTTCAAACCGCTGTTAAATAGCCGATATACCGCTGATATCGATATCATTTCTTAAATTTAAGTCATTAACTTTCTTTTCAAAACTTCTTAACATTTATGAAAATTTTAAAAAAGAAACTGTAAGTGTTCTTTCACTTACTTATAAAGCAAGATGAAATTCAAAAATAAACTGACATCACACAATTGTAAGATGAAAAATAATGTAATGAACAGAATATAAATACAGAAAAAACTGACCCAGCATTCACGGGGAATTTTGAACTAAGAACTGAGATCAAACTATTTATTTTAAAAAGATGAAATGATGTTTATGTTCCTTTGATCTTTACCCGGCTTTTGTGTTCACTAAAAAACTCGAATTTTGGGTCAGACTCACTGTAGTTTTTATTTCTCTCTTTATTACGAATTCTAAGTTAGGATCTGATATGTTACCAAGATCCAAACACACATAATTTTTTTTAAAGACTGGGTCCGAAGATTTCTCTTATACTTCCTAATATAAATCAATGATTGTTTTATTTAAAAACATTTCAGTTGAAAAAAGAGAGACAAAATTAATTTGTAACGAATGTTTTTCACAAAAGGTCAGACAATTCCACGATTAAAGCCATGCAAGTAAAAACAAAATTAAAAAAGAGAAAGTATTTCCTTATTTTTATGACATTAGAATGGCAAAAAAACCATTACCAGAGGAAGCAAATTCAATAAAAAATGTAATGGTTCTGTTTTAATTTCAGGAGAAATATTTCTCAAACTTTCCATGTAATTTTATTTCATTATGTCTTTATTGCTGTTGTTTGTAATTCATTACATCGATTTAACAATCAATATATTTTGCTTCTATAGCTGAAGGTATACTTTTGAAGAAGCCAAATGGCAGAATAATAAAATTTTACATTGTTTTTAATAATATAAAGTGGAAAAATTAATTCAAAGATGGCAACATTTAACACTATTGCAGACTCAGTTTGAATAATCGTGTTTATGATCAAATACAGTTTATTCAAGCTAATTTACAACCCCTACCCCAGCACACCGTGTATATCCAGTGACAGGAGCAGGAATGTGCAAAAAAGTAACACCGAATCTGTACGAAACTAGTAAGTAAAGGTCAAGGTAAGTAAACCGACCAAATATATTATCCTTAATCAAATTAAAAGAAATGAATAAGAGCATACGGCTGCTATGATATTTTACTTTAACCTTCATTATAAATTGTTCCAGGAATACGTTTACCTTTTGAGATCATTCGTGAGCAAGACTACCGTTTCAAGGATGACTTTTGTGTTTCGTCGAAATAAATAAGTACATAAACTCATTTTAAACTCTATTTTCATCATATCCCTTAGGCATTTGCCAAACTGGAAAACAGGATGTATAATATTTAACTTCTTTTAATGGATTTACCTGCGTTGCTTTGTGTGTGCATCATTCACTATTTTGTACAAATTTCCACACCAAAAAAGAAGTGAGATATGACTCAGCTTTATCGTCCAGTGAGTTCTTGTTTAAAAACCGTTACCCGACATCAAAAATAAATAACATTTAAGAAAATATAATAATAGTATTTTATGGCCTAATGGTCCATTACCTTAACTATAGATAAAGTTGGTCGTACTCAAATACCTATTATTAGTATATTGAATCATATCAAATATTGCAAAATGATTAGAAGGTTACGTGGTATAGAACAGGAACAAATGTTCTTTCTGAATAAAGGGTACAAAGTAGATCAACATATTTTGTTAAAATATGTTAAATGTCAAATACGAGTATAATGCTAAAAACTTTGTTATTTTAATGTTATATAAGATAAATTTTCAAAGATATGTAAAACAAAACATTATAGTATGAACGTGAATCGTTTTCAAGCTTTTACGCACTTCTTAAAGGTAACAAAAGCTTTTTGCAATAAAAATCCACGATTGTGGTGCGGAGCAAACAGTGTTAGTTCCCAAATGTGTAATTAACATTCAATAATGTTTACCATGACGTTTATCAAATATATTTGTTTATAATAATAGTAAGTGTTTGAAATGATTGATATTTTGTAATTTTCTATAATGTTTGATAGGAGGTCCATCTAGTTTCTTTTTCAGAATTCCATTAATATGTGTCTTTAGAACATAGAATGCAGTTTGTTAATGACACCAATTCAGCAGCTATTGTTGTATCAAAATGATCCCGTACAATTACAATGTTGTCCACAATGTTCTCCATGGGGATATCGTTAAATGACTCTCAATACAATACGATGCTAGAAACACTTATTCTAAGTACGAAAATTGAAAGCACAAAAACAAAACAACACATTAAGACATTCTATTACAGCACTGTACCAATCTATTACACTAAAATTTAGTTTGTAAAGCGTTAATTTAAAAACAGATATTTCTTTCTCGGGAACGGTCCTTAAAAGCTGGATGTTGCAACATTTCAATTACTATATATTAAAAAGACAAAGTCAATACAAGTAATGAGGAAAATACATTTACAAGTAATATGTTTAAAAATACCATTACGTATATCAAACAGTTTCAAGCCTATAGTTTCAAATGACTTTTGTTATAATATATGAACAACTAGAAAAAAGGTGAAATGTCTCTCACTTTCTGTAATTTCACAGTAAATTTAGATAACAAATACCGTAAAACAACCATATTTCTATTTGTTTTTGAATGTAATTTATTTAAACATGCATCACTTAAAAACTTTATGACATCAACTGTTTTAAAATAGAATTTTAAATTACGAGACTTGTCATGCATTATAACACATTTCATGGGGATGACAAATATATGATTTTCATACTTTATTAAAAAACACAAATGTTAATTTTAGACGTTTCTTTATGGAATTATTCTACACTGTATAATGACAGTGTGTATAAAAACGCATTGTTTAAATAATTGTCAAGTTATACGCAAATGCTCTTTGCATGATGTGCCCTTGAAATGACAGAAAGCATTTCTGTTTTATTTCTGTCAACACTGACATAAATTGTTCAGCACGTGTATGAGAATAAGTAAAAGAAGAACAAAAGCAGTTAGGTTAACGGCATGGTTAACGGGCATGTGCTACAACATCCGCCAAGAGGGATAAACTGGTTGTCACAATAAACTTCCGGACAATAAACTCCTGGACAATGTCTCTGTGTAGAAACTGTAAATATCAACAAAATATCAAATTTTATATATTTAAAACAAATGACATTTATTTAACATAATTTGACTGATTATGCCTGTTGTACGATTTTTTCACATAAAAATAATTACTTTTGAGTCTGATTCATTGTTTAACCAATGTGTTCTATTGTCTAACCAGGCCAATACAAGTATCAAAGTATTTAACATGGGGCGAATTTACATTCCCTTGCTTAAAAGGCTAATCATTTTGCAATCACAACTTTTAAAGCGGCACACCGAAACATGAGCAAAATATTGTTTATTTGTCATAATTTTGTAAGGATAATACATAAATATCCTAACCGAGACATAGACACTTTTACCACAGAACTTTAAATTTATATTATAGCACAGTTTTTGTATAATAATAAAAAAGAATTAGATAAAATATATATGTTCTATTATAAAGTATATTTAATAGTTTTTATTAAGAAATAAAACAGGGCAAGCAACAAAACTTGCTAAATTAAACAACAAATGGACTGTCAGACTGTTATTGTTAAACACATTAAAAACATAATAAGCTTATATTCATATATTTACGCTGTCCCGTTATTTTTTATTGGTTGAAAAAAAGAGGATGAAAAGTCGGATTGCGATACAGGGACACGTTATTCCGAAAAATAAAAATTCGGAAAACAAACAGACAAATATCATGTTCAATGACAGCTGTGAATTATGGGTTCAAGTTAAGCCCTTGTTATTTTACGTCACGTGTTTATGAAATTGTAATAATGTACATATTATTATACTTACGTCTGCCAATTGGCAACATGCATACAAAACCACATCCGTTACTACAACATTTCTGCACGCCGTTACAATGCCAGTCATTCATGCAACCGAGAATACATATACCAGGCATGTCTGGATCTTGTCGGGGACACTTGCCCGCCTTCGGCACTGCAAAATCAAGACCATTGCTTAATGATATTATTAAACGTAATTATTTAAGATTGAAAATAGAATATTTTTTAAGGATTTTATCATTTCATGGGCTTGTTTACGATAACCTACGAGTATAATGGCTATTATATGCATTTTGATCTTTTGTTGACACGGTATAAAAGTATAAATATATATGCATAAATATTTTAATATCATTTGTGGCTAAAATATTTTGGCTTATGAGATCGTTCCATTTTTCAAAATTGTTGGAGGTTGTACCAACTTGTCCAGTTTGTTATCAGCACCAATATTATCAATATATCAATATTATCAGCACAATATTATCCCGTTTAATCAGACTACCATGCACTCACTGTGTCACTCTAGACGGCTACATTTCTTTACTGCTGACTTACAAACAATCAGTAATGAAAACATCTGAGAAGTGCAAATGTCTAGTATAAATAATGAAAGATTTTCTTACTTTTTATGTTACTTTGACGTGCAAAATTAATATCATTCAAGGCTAAATTGTTTAAAGTTGCCAATAAGAGATCGTACTTACAACATGCCATTTCTGTACAAGACACCGACCCGTCATTACACTTGCATGTATTACATAGATCTTTGAATGTTTGACCATTTTGGTATACTCTCCATTTGTAAAAACAACGCCTTCCTATAAATAATTACGTAAAGAAAATTACATGTACCAGTTTATTTCGGTTGTTCGCAAACGGAAATAAGACAGAATAAATGTGTGTATTTGCGTAACTTACATAAATAACAATGTGTCACTGATGACAGGTTCAAAAACAAATGGCAACTTTAAGTGTTTTTGACAAGCCTTATTTTGCATTCAAGCAGTAATGTTAGCAAACTTGTTTGTTACATTCATAGCAATATTTCTTACTTCAGTTTTATACAAGTTTAAACTGTAGTGTAAAGATATTAATTAAGAAAATTAAATAAAATATATATCGCATTTGTAGTTAAATATATCTTTTTTAGTGCATCTAAAATCGCCTTTAGCACTACTTAGATTTAAAAATTTAACACAAAAAGATTGTTTAAAAACGTACGGTGAATAGAATGCAACATTTTGTTGTTTTCTTTCAATGAAACATTTTAACAACAATTTTGAGGTGATTTAAGAAGACATTAGATATAAAATAAGCGCAAAAAGTAAACAAATGATGTTTAAGGCAAAAAGTTTTTTAATGACTTAAATTGAAGGGAATTATATTAGTCTCTTTTCAAAACTTTATTATTATCATTATTATTATTATTATTATTATTATTATTTTTTTATTATTATTTTTATTATTATTATTATCTAATCCTTCCTTGTTAATACTATTACTTTTCATTATATTGTTTATTTGTTTCAACTATTTTTTTTATCGATTTTCCTACCAAATTGCCCTTAGACAATAAAAAATAATTTTACACATTCATTTATTTCTTCAATTAAATTCGATGTTTATAATTCTCCAAATAATTTTTTGTTTGTAAATTTCCAAATTCATTCAATATAACTAACAATATTTATTTAATATAACATTTTAGTCTTTAGTTACTTTTATTATGATTACAATACACTAATAATATATACTAAAACTCAAGCACCAAACTGTAAAAAAAAGCTACTTACCGGTTGGACATTCTGGGCAGCACAATCCCGCACGAGTTACTGGAGATTTACATCTAACAGCAGGACACGGTTCCGAACATTTCTTAGCTGCGTTGCTGTTTGCGTTTGTGGAATTCTGTCCAAAGGTTAAACACACAAAGTTCACAAGAATTATTAACAAAAGCATTGTTGATAAGAATGTCGTATGCCTACTTTTACAATTTGTTAAATGCATGAAATAGTCGTGACTTTACTTTTCACAGATGAATAAATCTAACAACGCTATATTTATCAAAATGTCGTGTGCGACTAAAATTATAATTAATTATAAATGTCAATCATTATTTATAACAATAACAATTGTTAACAATTATAAGTGTCAATCATTGTTTATATATTAGCATAAATTGGATGTAGGTGAAAAAAACAAATATTAATAACAAAGGAAATAAAAATGGTGAAAACTAATAATTATTAACATGTTTACAACAAAACATTTTTATGAGTTTACTACTATAATAGCATCTTTATAATTAACTGTTGATAAAGAGAAATAATAATTAATATTAATCATAAAGTACTTCAACACAATTTACAGTAATTAAAACTCGCGTTGTAAACTATGAATTTAATAAAATTTTCAAAAGTTATTTTTACTTCTTGAATACTAATACTTACATTTAACCGCAGTTGCAATGTTATAGAATTTGAGATTGTTACATATCAAAGCAAATGTTGAAAATCGTTAAAGATACATCAACTCGATCAAACAAGCTATAAACCTTCGGAATCAACTTGTCTAACATATTTTTGTGTATGTTCCAGACAAAGTTAATGTGTTTTTTTTTGTATATTTATGATGCTAAGATTATCCAGACTAAGTACATTATTTGATCTGCATCAGCATTGCACTTGATTTTTGTCTATTCTGGAAATTGATACATTCATAAAATGCACTGGTAAACATATGAAGAGTTAAATTGGAACGCTAGAAGTCGGCTAATACGGCATCACCTAAAAATTGCTGACTACAACTGAATTTACTTTCGGCTTTGATGCCTGCACTATTAAGTGTTGAGAATTGAGTACCGCTAAAACCAGTGAAAGGGGGCCGTGAGGGATGTTGCACTTATACATTATCTCTCATGTACAGACTCAATCAAACCGAGTCTGCAATTTTCATGTCATTTTGTTGTGATTTATGCTTCTGAGGGATCACTTTGTTATAAACAGGTTTCCTTTCAAAAAAAAACATAGAAGACTTTAAAATTAATCCTTTTAATATGGTTAAGGGTGAAAGAGCCACACATTGTTTCCATTATAATATTGCACGTGTCTCACGTCGTGTTTTCATTGACTGATCGTGACGTGTATATAATTTATATACATGACTGCAGTCGATTTTTAAATTATTTCGTTTATTTTTTCTCATACAGGATATATGTAAGGCCATATGACCAGTCAAAAAATTTTATAACATATAATATATTCGGTTTGTTAAATCATGAAATAGAACAAAATCTATAATGATGAAATAAGAAAAAAATCTATAATGATGGCATTTTGTTTTTTTTAATTTAGCACACTTGTGTCTATTTTCGGCATAAATGAATGAAATAGCTTCACGGTCATACGGTCATATCAGTACATAAATATATTACAATGATAAATGTCTTCTGTGGTTTTATGGATGTTTTCCTTTAAATCATGGTTGGTTCGGCCTTTTCTGGCTAGATGAAATGTCATATATGAATTACTTTCTATGATTTATTGCTATACAATGTATTGCTTTCTTAATTTTTTCTCAGAATTTCTCTCAGAATTTCTCTTAAATAAATTCTCATGTTTTTGGCAACACTTTCTATCGCATAAAAATAGCAAAAACCACAAAGCAGTATGTGTTTTTCCTTGATGTTTTAAGTATAGTTTTTCAAAGCGATTACTGACTACATGTGCTGTAATCACTTTTAGGGAATGGCTTCAGTTTAATGATATCAATCAACATAAAAAAATCACGACGTATTCTTTTATAAATTTCCTATTCCAGATTATTTCATACAGTTTGGTTCTTGTTCACATATTCTTAGTAATACTTAATATTTTGCTCTTCTGAAAAAAGACATGATGTAAATACAATGATATCTTAAGATTATTTCAAATAAGAAATACAAATTCACATTTTCGTTATTCCATGCCTTTATCCAATTATTGATCTGTTCCGTTCTTAATCACTTTCATAAGATTTGACATTTCGGTTTTATGGAAAGGTACATTTATTTCATTATTTGAAAATGGATCCATTATCCGATTTCCTAAAACAGAGTAACTTAGTTATGTTTTGTTTTGTTTTCTTTCTTGTGTGGTATATAAACAACTTTGTCGGTTTAATGATTTGATATTTTGTTATGTGTTCTAATACTTACGTTGCAAATCAAAGTTTTTTTGTCTATTGTAATTCAAATAATTCCTAAAAATTTATTCCGATATAATGCTTTACGTAATTTTGTTTTCGTATTCAACAAATTAATTCAAACAAGGAAAGTAGCTTGTTGTTGTTTTTTTTCTTTTTGCGAAAGTCATAATTGAACACCAAAAAACAAATCAATGTAGTGAAAATTGTTGGCCTAGAGCTATGCCAATATTTTATTATGATATCATAATTCTGCTACTTAACTGCACATATGTCCCTTACCTTTACGGCATTTAGCGGTCAAAAATGAACTGTTTATTTGTTATTAAAGAAGACGTACCGTACAAAACAATATCTCAACATGTTTTAGTCATGTACATAATGGAATAAGATCTAGTTTAATTCTTTTCTTTTTTTAACAATGAGATCTATGAGATGTATGGCAGAAATACTCCAGATAGCAAAGGCCATTGCAATATCGGTTAATTTGATTATTCATATATTGGCAGACAACCAAACTAATTTTACATAGACATTTCTCCTTTCTGTAAGATTTGACATATTACAAAAGGTTAGAATACAAGCAATATTTCTTATCAACTAAAAATAAGTTAAGAAATACAGAAACACATTAATTATAAAGCATTGCAATAGAACGTTCTAGTTTCGTTTTGCATGTTAAGATTGCTTAAAAGTTCACATGTATATTGACAAACAAATATAATTATTTCGTGTACCTTCAATTTAATTTGTTTCACAAAAGTGCTCGCGTTGTTTCTGAGCATTTTGTCCAATATCCGTCGAGAGCAGTAAAAAGCGAATTAATCATGTACTATGATTAAGTGAGACAATGAAAATGCGATGTCTCTTACACCCCTCCCCATCACCGCCTTAGTATGCATAAACACTTATATAGTAAAAACAGTGGGACTAACTATTAAAAGGATAACAAACCCGGGTTTAAGTTTTTAGCTGTTCTATTCAAAAAATATTATGAATGATTCTTTAAACAGCGAGTGCTTCATTTAGGCACTTATGCACAATGATATTTGAGAATAGTTTTTGCTATTTCAAACAGTTTTTGCTATAGTTAAGTTCCTGTATTCAAATATGTATAATATCTATTATGAATACCTATATTGGTTGTACCTCTTGTATGTAATTCTTTAACAAAAAAGGCAACTTACCACAAAAAGAACGCGATATTAAAAGGTCAATCATATTTTCTATGAATTAAAAATAACGTTTTTGCAGGTAAACATAATTGAATTAATTTTGATACAGAACTCATGCTATGAAAAAAAAAACATCTAACATACCTCTTTTGTAGTTCGTATAATTCGTTTTGTAACAAAAAAAATGATTGAAATACTTAAAGTACATTGTGTGCTTTACCAAAAAAGTACAAAATGATTATGAATCTAACTGTAAATGAAATAGAACATGTAACAAATATATTTTCAGGGTTGTCATCTTACCATTCTAAAAGTGTGCATGACCCCTCTGCCATTATGAGAGTAAAGAAACAGAGCGTGTTTTAGTATGTCTATGTTAAAAAATCAAATAACTATTTTCTATCTGTAGAGTTTAGATAGTCTAACTGCAGTCCTTACAAAAGCAGACAAATATAGATATAGAAAGAAAGATAAATAAATAAATATGAAATGTTATTATTTAGCCTACGCACTATATAGATATATCTGCTAACAAGTACACAAAGAGGAACACGAAGTGTTTCTTTATAAATTCGTTTACACATTACAAAATCATTTTCCGCGCTAAAATGCAAATACAGTGCTGTAATATTTGAATCATAATATTAACAAAAAATTATTGTTTTTATTTACTAAGGATCAAAATTTAATAATCTTTATGCTATGCTTACATCAACAAAATAACAGAATAATTTGATATCGTATCCAAATTTTTGTCGGAGTTTCAACGGGAATAAAATACATATTGACAGAATATATGCTTAGTTTGCACATTAATATTGGTCCTTCAGACAACATCTAAATATTTAAACAAGAAATACAGAAGTCACAAGGGAATATGTTTATATTTCAAATGATTTGTTATATAGATATCTGACAGTGATTTAAACATTTCATACAAAACAAAAATAGCATGGTTGTAGTCTGAGATTGTTGTATCAATGAGATAACCATTCACATGCAGGGATCACGTTTCTAGGCGACTTGTCTCTCTCCATTTCGCCCGAATCGCTTAGAAAAGTGAAAACAAAGTCGCCCTCATTTTCAATAAACGCTTGCAATAAATTTCGAAGTGTCAAGCAGCTTAGTAATCGTCTACGCTCCTCCTATTTCAAAGTGATTTGTTAAACGCATTTTCATTGGTCGGTAAAATTGGAAAGCCAATGAAACGCAGCGAGACAACCTAGAAGTGAAAAATTCAGTAATCATTTAGTATACAATCAGTTTATAAGTAGCATAAATATTGTTCATCCAAAGTCGGTCATGTTATTTTCAAACCATAATCAAATTATTGAAAACTTCCTCGCTTCTTCATTAACTTATTTTCTTATGAGATTGGTTATTTCTTGTCTGTACAATGAATCCATTACCTAAGTGGCTTTGAACAGAGCCATGTAGACATATCATAATTACATTATTTTAATTGAATTTTAGCGTCTGTCTGAATAGAATAAAACAACAAATTCTTAAATTTTTAAATTTAATGCAAAACGGTTTTATAACGCTTAGTACGAATCTTAACAAATGCGCACGAGGTGATGTAATTCTTTTTAAAATATTATCGTAGATAAATGGAAAATTATTAATCAACAAATTTAGTGTGTGCATATGTATCAGTTTTAT